GCTGAGTGAAGTACCATCAGAAAGTCTCATTGAGAATGTGAATGCAGCATTGAGAACGATCCCTACCAACACCATAACAGAAACCAATGAGCTGATCTACAACTCAGCATCAGTGATCCTTGAGATACTTGGCTATAAGAGCAACCATGAGACCCAATACCCACCATGGAAAAGACGGTTAGAGGCTAAAATCAAGGTAACAAGGAGGGAAGTGAGCCAACTGTCAGAGCTCCACAAGGGTACAATGAAAAGACCAGTACCCAGAAAGTACAGCCAGATGCCCCTACCTGAAGCACTTGAAACTGCCAAACAGAGGCTCCAAGCCTTGGCCAGCCGCCTAAAGAGATACACAAGGGAGAATGAATCCAGAAGGATTAACCGGCTCTTCTCCACTCAACCAGCTAATGTGTACTCTCAATGGCAGGGTAATAACAACAGAGCAGACAGAGAGACTGAACAATACTGGAAAGGCATATGGGAAAGGGAGGCGTCCCACAACAGCAATGCACAGTGGCTGATCTCTCTACGAGAGGACAGTGGCCGGTAACCATCACTGTGACAGATGTTCAAGAAAGAATCTCAGGTATGAAAAACTGGACAGCACCAGGGCCTGACATGATCCATGCCTACTGGCTAAAGAAACTCACTGCTCTCCATGAGCGACTGGCAGCCCAAATGAACCAGCTGCTACAAAGTGGGACTCACCCTGAATGGTTAACTGAAGGGCGAACAATCCTAATCCAGAAGGATCCATCAAAGGGTCCAGTCCCACCCAACTACCGACCAATAACCTGCCTCTCCACAACCTGGAAGCTCATGTCAGGCATCATAGCGGCCAAGATAAGCAAACACATGGATAAACACATGAGCACGGCACAGAAGGGTATCGGTGTAAATACCAGAGGAGCCAAACACCAACTCCTCGTAGACCGCACAGTTGCCCGAGACTGCAAAACCCGACACACCAACCTGTGCATGATTGCATTGATTACAAGAAAGCCTATGACTCAATGCCGCATACTTGGATCATTGAATGCCTAGAGATGTATAACATCAACAGGACTCTGAGAGCCTTCATTGCAAACTCGATGAGGCTGTGGAAAACCACCCTTGAAGCCAACTGCAAACCACTTGCACAAGTGTCCATCAAATGTGGCATATACCAAGGAGATGCTCTGTCCCCGCTACTGTTCTGCATTGGCCTGAACCCCCTCAGCCAAATTATCAACAAGACTGGCTACGGATACCGACTCAAAAATGGGGCCAACATCAGTCACCTCCTCTACATGGATGACATCAAGCTGTATGCCAAGAGTGAGCGAGACATCGACTCACTGATCCACACCACCAGGATCTACAGCACTGACATTGGGATGTCATTCGGACTAGAGAAGTGTGGTCGGCTGATCACAAAGAGGGGGAAGGTGATCCGCACAGAAGGAGTCTCACTCCCACAAGGAACAATAGCAGACATAGAGGACAGTTACAAGTACCTAGGTATACCACAAGCAAATGGCAACCTCGATGAGGTCACAAGGAAAGGAGCCACAGCTAAATACCTCCAACGAATAAGGCAAGTCCTGAGAAGCCAGCTCAATGGCAAGAACAAAATCCGTGCGATAAACAGCTATGCCCTGCCAGTAATCAGATACCCTGCTGGAATAATCAGCTGGCCAAAGGAGGAGATAAAAGCCACAGATATTAAGACTAGAAAGCTACTAACCATTCATGGAGGGTTCCATCCCAAATCCAGCACCCTGAGACTGTACACGAGCCGCAAGGAAGGAGGCAGAGGACTAGTGAGTGTGAGAACCACTGTCCAGGACGAAACAACTAAGATCCATAAATACATCAGGGACAAAGCCTCAACAGACAATGTGCTCAGTGAATGTCTCAGACAACAGGGAACGGAGGTTGAGGTGCCAGAGTACCATCATGGGAGGACAAGCCCCTACATGGGATGTACCACCAGCAAATAACCCAAGTGGCTGATATCAGTAAATCCTACCAATGGCTGGAAAAAGCTGGACTCAAGGACAGCACAGAGGCCCTCATCCTGGCCGCCCAGGAACAGGCCCTAAACACCAGAGCAATAGAAGCCCAGATCTACCACACCAGACAAGACCCAAGGTGTAGGTTGTGCAAGGAGGCCCCTGAGACAGTCCAGCACATCACAGCAGGGTGCAAGATACTGGCAGGGAAAGCGTACATGGAGCGACATAACCAAGTGGCAGGCATAGTGTACAGAAACATCTGTGCAGAATATGGACTGGAAACCCCGAGATCAAAGTGGGAAACACCCCAAAGGTGGTGGAGAACGCCAGAGCTAAGATCCTGTGGGACTTCCAGATCCAGACAGACAGAATGGTAATGGCGAACCAACCAGACATTGTCGTAGTGGATAAACAACAGAGGAAAGCTGTTGTGGTAGATGTAGCAATACCAAGTGATTGCAACATCAGGAAAAAGGAGAAACTGGAGAAATACCAGGGCCTCAGGGAAGAACTGGAGAGGGCCTGGAAGGTGAAGACCATAGTGGTGCCTGTGGTCATCGGGGCCCTCGGGGCAGTAACCCCCAAACTGGAGCAGTGGCTACAACAGATCCCAGGAACAACATCAGACATCTCAGTCCAGAAATGTGCAGCAGTCCTTGGCACAGCCAAGATACTGCAGGACCCTCAACCCAGGCCTCTGGTAGAGGATATATAGATCTATATATAGATCTATATATAGATCTATATATAGATCTATATATATATATATATATATATATATATATATATATATATATATATGTATATATATATATATATATATATATATATATATATATATATATATATATATATATATATATATATATCCTCTGGTAGAGGATATATAGATCTATATATAGATCTATATATATAGATATAGATCTATATATCCTCTGGTAGAGGACCTGAGCTCAGAGGATAAGAACCACCCGCGGTGGGTGAGAAGGGAATTTTATATATATGCAGCATATAAATGAAGTGGACTGAAAAGAATTTGAAATGATTCCAAATTATTAATCTTATTAAATCACATCTTCAGTAAATATCAAGAAAATAATTTAGTGAAACTGCTTTATTTGCTGAAACATCAAATGTTTTATTCAATTTTTACTCAAAAGTTACAGTTAAAATTTTATTTCTGAAGATACAAGAAAAATATACCAAGAAATCAGAATAAACCTTGAGGGGGAACAGATGAAATACTTTGAAACCTTAAAAGGTTTAATAAACCAGTGACTCATCAATTCCGTGACTAAATTATCAGATTTAATGTTTTCTTGCATGAAACACTTGTCATGTTTTCATTTTGTCACAAAAGTGTTTATTCATCTTTAAGCATTGTAATTTGTTTCCTTTTCTGCACCTTATCACATCATTGTTCTTTATTATTATGTAGTAAACGAACAGCTGTCATTATTTGCAATAAAGATTCAAATTGAATTATAATCCTGTTACAACCAGTTCAGGTGTTTCCATGTCCAATATGGCGGACATTTTGCAGTGTCTAGATAGCCAAGACAAACTTTAGCCTGTCAGCTAATATCACAATGTTATTTCATTATTATTATTATTTTATTTTATTATACGCTGAAAAAGTTGAAGTTGTATTAATAAATGTTAGTAATAACATGAATAAAAGCGTTAATAACTGTGGCGGTGCGGTGGGGAATATTTTTCTGTAATTTTCTCGTTCCCTCATATTCAGAGTTTGCTTCCTGCAATATTTACTGGTCTATTTGCAGCTATACTGTCATGATTTAACATTTCCAACATATTTAAAGATGGTGCTAGAGGGTGAACTCAGGGAAGCTCATCTGTCCGAGTGTCAATTGTCTCCGGGCCACTTATTGGTCTGTCATGATTATTGATTTATTCCATTTTGATTATCAAACTTCACAAGAACTGCGACACACTGACAAAGATCCGCTTCCTCACATGCCACGCCCCTCACCTGCCCTTCACACCTGGTGAGGTCACATCGACACGCCCACCACCCAGGTGTCCCGTCATATCAATAACTACTTATTTCACTCATATGAATGAGTGAAAACATGTTCATTATTATTAAAACCCTGATTGAAGGTGGATTTATTGACTGCATGTTTATGTCTGAACATGAAAACAGTTTCAGATCCAACTGGGACACAATCCAAAGTGTGTCATTCCCAACAAATACTTATGGAACGTTTCCGTATAAATCATGTTTGTGGTGCATTTCTATCCGAAAGAAAAAGAAACAAAACTTTAGATATTTCACAAAGAGATATTAACATTCATGGAATAAGCTTGTATTAAAGCAGAGATTATGGCGCACAGTATTCAGTTATGAACTGATCAGTACATTGTTGCGAGGGAAAGGCAGACTGCTCTTACACTCAGGTCTTACTTATTTTTATTGAACACCAAACATTTTTAGATTCATGTGTATTGTCATTTGTATCTATTTAAAACAAACACATCATAAAAATTCATGAATACAACCACTTAACAATATCAGAAAATCTGTAGCCAACGTGAAGAAAAGCCATCCATCTCATTATTGACCAGAAACAGGAACATTTCTTCAGACCAATCTCAAGAAAATCAGCAAAGTTACAGTGAAATGGAACTAAAATCTGGTTTAAAAAGTTTTAAAACCACATCAGGCTGCAGGACCAGAAATGACTAGTAATGCACATCAAACATGTTTTATTGTCATGAAGCAGCCTGCACAAAAATAAAACTAAAATTCAAATGTTGTTCAGATACGAGTTTTGTTCAGTCTGAGGATCTAATCTCTGTTGCTCCTTTAAAAACATTAAAGTTCTAAATCAAAAAGCTTTCATGAGAAACTGCTGTTAATAAAATTCCTCATAAACATTGATTTATTGAAATGGGTACCAAAACAAGTTATGGGACCCAAGTTATAATTTAACAGCTTAGTTAAATGATAACTTAAGCTGTTTATTTTAGGCCTTTTTTAGTTTTGCCATATCGGTGAATGGAGAACAACAGGAAATGAATACCTGGGGAGAATCATAACTTTAACATAACACTTAAAGCACCAGGGTTCATATAGAAAATGTTCAGATTTTATTTAGTGCTTTTAAAAGCTCTGTGTTGAAAACAGTGAGAAATAAAGACATAACTTCAGATTCTTCTATCTGTTCTGGGCTCCACTTGATCCTCCATCCAGTGTCTTATAATTCACTAAAACTTACTGAGCTAAATATTAATGAGACGTTTGCTGCCTTCCACAAAAAAGCTCGTCCATCAGTGTTGCTAATGAGGCAGCTCATGATGGTTCAGTCAAAGTAATAAAATGACCAGCAGTCTGATCTTTATTGTTAATGATCTTCTTATTGAGCAGTGAAAGGAAATAAAATGTTTATTTGTCTTTTGCTGTAAATATTTACTTACTGGGGTTTTTTTTTTTTGTTTGTATTGCAGAGCCACAGCTAACAGCTGGCAGCTAACAGATAGCAGCTAACAGCTAATAACTGCCCGCGGGGTCCTGCGCGTCACATTTTCACTGGCTCGTTGCTGTTTACAAGTTTTAGTCAGGCACAGCAGCGGCTGCCCCGAGGGGTCCTGCGCGTCACATTTTCACACACGTGTTAAGGAACATGGCGGACCTTCAGATGAAGCTGCTGCGAAAGAAAATCCAGAAAAGGACCGAAAAGAACCGGGAGAGGAAACAGAAGCGGAGAGAAGAGGAGGCAGGTGAGTGATCCGGAACCGACTGACGGCTCCGAACCGAACCGGGAAAGAACCACAGGTTCAGGTCTGATCCGAAAACTGGCTGAGAGTCATAAGAGCCCACCGGCTGACTACAACGCAAACCTAAAAGCTCTTTTAATCAGTTTATCAGTCTCATGGTGTTTGATTGAGAAATGTTCTGGTTCTGGGCGGGTTCCGGGGGTCCATTAGGTCCAGCTGGCGGTTTTTCAGGAAGCTGTTTCTCAGAGTCCATCAATAAGGCGTTGAAGAGGAAACTGTCCCGACCGAGCCCATCCGAACCTCACGAACCGGTTTCAGACTTATTGTCATGGAGATCATGGAGATCTGGGGTCAGGGGTCATCCCGAGTCTCAATCTGATGCCTTATTGATGACCGTTAATTCATCTGAAACTTTGACAGTTTAAATCAGGAGAATAAAACGTTTATTCAGTCTGGGAACCAAAACTGATGGAAATAAAGATTGATCATTTACCCTGAGCCTAAACTCTAGTCCTGGGGGCCAAACTCTAGTCCTGGGGTCCAAACTCTAGTCCTGGGGTCCAAACTCTAGTCCTGGGGTCCAAACTCTAGTCCTGGGGTCCAAACTCTAGTCCTGGGGGCCAAACTCTAGTCCTGGGGTCCAAACTCTAGTCCTGGGGTCCAAACTCTAGTCCTGGGGACCAAACTCTAGTCCTGGGGACCAAACTCTAGTCCTGGGGGCCAAACTCTAGTCCTGGGGCCAAACTTTAGTCCTGGGGTCCAAACTCTAGTCCTGGGGTCCAAACTCTAGTCCTGGGGTCCAAACTCTAGTCCTGGGGGCCAAACTCTAGTCCTGGGGACCAAACTCTAGTCCTGGGGGCCAAACTTTAGTCCTGGGGACCAAACTCTAGTCCTGGGGGCCAAACTCTAGTCCTGGGGGCCAAACTCTAGTCCTGGGGGCCAAACTCTAGTCCTGGTGGCCAAACTCTAGTCCTGGTGGCCAAACTCTAGTCCTGGGGACCAAACTCTAGTCCTGGGGGCCAAACTCTAGTCCTGGGGTCCAAACTCTAGTCCTGGGGTCCAAACTCTAGTCCTGGGGGCCAAACTCTAGTCCTGGGGGCCAAACTTTAGTCCTGGGGTCCAAACTCTAGTCCTGGGGTCCAAACTTTAGTCCTGGGGGCCAAACTCTAGTCCTGGGGTCCAAACTCTAGTCCTGGGGTCCAAACTCTAGTCCTGGGGACCAAACTCTAGTCCTGGGGACCAAACTCTAGTCCTGGGGGCCACCATCCTGCAGGCTTTAGATGAGCCTCAGGTACCAAACACTGGATCCAAACGGCTCCATGACCTCCTGCTGATGACCTCATGACCTCCTGCTGATGACCTGATTATGCAGTTGGACAATATGGCTGACATTCCTATTTGAGCTCCAACCTGACTGAACAATCTGACATGTTGCATAAAATGCTGAATTTTAAATATAACAATGTTTCTGGCTGGGAAAACATTTATTTCTCTTTCATTACCAGAGTAAAATAAGTTAAGAGATGAAAATCAGAGCTGTGATAGTTGGAGAATAAAGTTGTGATGTTGGTGGAATCATGTCGTAATTTTATCATAACTCCGTAAAGAAAAACAAAGTTTACGTTGAAATTACATTTTGGTTTCACTTCATTCCTTTACATGTTGATGTTTTACAAATAAAATATCAAATCATTTTACCTACGATGATCCCATCCTAACCTGTCGGTTCTGGTTCTGGTGCAGGGAGGTCCAACGGGCCGGATGCGGAAGGCTGGGAGGAACCAGCTGCTGCTGCTGGTCCAACAGAACCAGAGCGGAACCAGCAGAACCCGGCCGAGGAAGAGGAGGCCGAGGAAGAGGAGGCCGAGGAAACTCCTCTGAAGAAACAGAAGAAGAAGAAGAAGAGGAAGCTAGCAGAGGGAGCCGCAGGTAGAGTCCGCACCAGGAAGTAGACTGGTTTCACTGGGTTTACTGGTTTCACTGGGTTTACTGGTTTCACTGGGTTTACTGGTTTCACTGGTTTCACTGGTTTCACTGGGTTTACTGGTTTCATGTTTCAGTTTCAGCTGAGAAAAAAATCAGGACTGAGGAAGAGGATGGATTGGACATTACTGATGAAGCTGTAGTGGAAGAGGAGCCTGAACTACCCACAGGACTGACAGGTAAATGCTCAGCTGGTCCCTGAAGGCACCGCCAGGTGGCGCCGCCTTCCAGCGTTGGCGATGACGTTGACCCGCAGCAGAAGAGGAAGAGCTGTAGTCTCCATCAGGATGAAGCTGACCTGCCGCTTTCTGTTCAGGCGCATTCGAGGACACCTCGTTCGCCTCTCTCGCCGGCCTGGTGGGTGACCACATCCTGAGGGCGATCAAGGAGATGGGCTTCGAACACATGACCGAAATCCAGCACAAAACCATCCGCCCTCTGCTGGAGGGAAGGTGAACTGCACCGCGGAAAGCATCCTCCGGTGATGTCATCAGGCTCTCCTGATGACATCACCGAGTCCTAATAATGACATCATCAGCTCATCCCATCGTTTCTCCTCAGAGACATCCTGGCTGCTGCTAAAACTGGCAGCGGGAAAACATTGGCCTTCCTCATCCCGTCCATCGAGCTCATCAACAAGCTCAAGTTCATGCCCAGGAACGGTGAGTCTTCCTCCTGAGGCTCCGCCTCCTTGCTCTGCGTCCCTACGCTGAGGCTCCGCCTCTTCCGCCCTCCCTCAGGTACCGGCGTGGTGATCCTGTCTCCGACGCGGGAGCTGGCCATGCAGACGTACGGCGTGATGAAGGAGCTGATGGCGCACGACGTCCACACCTTCGGCCTCATCATGGGTGGCAGCAACCGCTCCGCCGAGGCCCAGCGGCTCGCCAACGGCGTCAACATTCTAGTGGCCACGCCCGGCCGCCTGCTGGACCACCTGCAGGTGAGACGGTGGAACTGCAGGCTAGTTCTGCACCAGAGACTCGGTTCTGGTTTTGGTTTCCTCCCAGTTCGTCTCCCAGTTCGTCTCCCAGTTTACCTGTTGTCTCCTCCCAGAACACGCCGGGCTTCATGTTTAAGAACCTGCAGTGTCTGATCATCGACGAGGCCGATCGGATCCTCGAGGTCGGCTTCGAGGAGGAGCTGAAGCAGATCATCAAGCTGCTGCCCAGTACGTCCCACCGCAGCGCCGCGTCCCGACCCTCAGAAGCCCCCAGTGACCCCTTTTTTACCCCGTTTGCCCCGTCTCTGCAGAGAAGAGGCAGACGATGCTGTTCTCTGCCACCCAGACGCGCAGGGTGGAAGACCTGGCACGGATCTCCCTGAAGAAGGAGCCGCTGTACGTCGGCGTGGACGACCACAAGGACAGCGCCACCGTGGACGGCCTGGAGCAGGTAGGCCTCTGACTGACGGAGCCCGTGTGACCCCTCTGACCCCGGCTGACCTGCCGACCCCCGCAGGGCTACGTGGTGTGTCCGTCGGAGAAGCGCTTCCTGCTGCTGTTCACCTTCCTGAAGAAGAACCGTAAGAAGAAGCTGATGGTGTTCTTCTCCTCCTGCATGTCGGTCAAGTTCCACTACGAGCTTCTCAACTACATCGACCTCCCGGTCATGGCCATCCACGTGAGCTCCTGACCCAAACCGACCCGGCTGATCGGTTCCGCTGGGTTTTGACCATCCCGTTTCTCCCCACAGGGCAAGCAGAAGCAGACCAAGCGGACCACCACCTTCTTCCAGTTCTGTAACGCCGACTCCGGCATCCTGCTGTGCACCGACGTGGCGGCGCGCGGCCTCGACATCCCCGAGGTCGACTGGATCGTCCAGTACGACCCGCCGGACGACCCCAAGGTCTGCGCCGGGCAGGGTGGGCGGCACCGGGTGGCTAGAACTCTGACCTCTGACCTCTGTCTTCGTCCCCTTCTGCAGGAGTACATCCACCGGGTCGGCAGAACCGCCAGAGGCATCGACGGCCGCGGCCACGCCCTGCTCATCCTGCGACCCCAGGAGCTGGGCTTCCTGCGCTTTCTGAAGCAGGCCAAGGTGATCGCTAACCCCGGCATGAACTCTGACTGACCTCTGACCCCTGGCTGACTCCCTGCTCTGCTCTCTCTGCTTCAGGTCCCGCTGAGCGAGTTTGAGTTCTCCTGGAGCAAGATCTCCGACATCCAGTCTCAGGTAAGAACCCAAACCGATTCTGTTCTGAGCTGGTTCTGACCCGCTTTGAACCGGTTGTGCCTCTGTCCATCCAGCTGGAGAAACTGATAGAAAAGAACTACTACCTGCACAAGTCGGCCCAGGAGGCCTACAAGTCGTACGTCCGGGCCTACGACTCTCACTCTCTGAAGCAGATCTACAGCGTCAGTACCCTGAACCTCCCCATGGTGGCGCTGTCCTTTGGATTCACCGTGCCGCCCTACGTTGACCTCAGTATCCTTTTCTCTGCTGCTCGGGTCTAGTCAAAACCTCAATAAAGCTGATCATTTCGCCTTTTCGTGAAAGTCCGGTTCATTTGTGGAGGTGTGACTGGGCTTCCCCTCCTGGCCTGTGGGGGCGCTGCACCAAGAACCACTGCAGGAAACGACACTAAAACCTCTGAAGATGCTGAGAGCAACTTCCTGTTTCACCAGATGAAACAAGATGGAGGCGTCAGAGTTTAGTGCTGGAGGATTTCTCTTTATTTCTGCTGCTATCGCTAGGCTAGCACGTTAGGTATGGTTGGATTTACCCAGAATGCCCTGTGCTGTGGTGCACTTCCTGCTTTTGGAGCGGTCCCTGGGCCGGTTGGCGTTCACATTCAAACTGAGATCAGACCAAGGTTTGGAGGGTCAGAGGTCAACCAGCATCCACACCTCACAACCGGACCGGCTTTTATAACAAGGGGAATGGAGTTGGGTTGGACCGGACCGGACCGGTGGCCGTAGTAAAAGCAGATACTTGAACTAGGATCTCTATTAAGTTTTTAAGAATTGAATCAGATTTTTACCTGCTGCTCTAAATTCACCCAAATGTCAAATCCTGAACCAATTCAGACTGAACAGAAAATCAGATTTGGACCTGAATGATTAAAGCTTCATGGTTTTCTGGTTCCTCCTTGACTCCGCCTCCTCCAGACGTTCACAGCAGCAAAGGCCGGAAGCTGCAGAAGCGCGGCGGCGGCGGCGGCTTCGGCTACCAGAAGGAAAAGAACGTCAGGAAGTCCCGGATCTTCAAACACGTCAGCAGAGGGCCGAGCGACCGCCGACAGTTCTCCCGCTGAGCTGGCGCCCCCCGCTGGGCTGGCGCTGCGTGGCGCCCCCTCCTGTAAATGTCCTGTAAAACTCAACATTTCTAATAAAGAAAACAAAGTTTTGTTTCTAAGCTTTATTTCACCTCAGACTTTGACTAGGACACTAATGATTTTAAAACAAAGTCTTTATTTTGATGTGAAATCAAACTGTTGTCAGTTAATCAAGCATCACAGGATGACATTTTATTGCAAAGTTTAAAACTTTTCATGTCTGAATCGATTCGTTTCTGTTGCTCATTTCCAGATTTTATCTCCCTTTGAATGTAAAAATGTTCACAATGGATCAAAACCGGGTCAGGACCAGGTTTCTGGCTGAGATTCTGCTGCCAGAGCAAAGTTGGACCGAACCTTTACTCGACCCAGTCGGACCGGTTCTGTCAGCTGGACAGTTCAACTGGAAGCGATCCCAATCGGATCCAGACCAGTTCTGGGAACAAATGAGGTCCGAGACAAAAGCTTCTGATTGAGTTGGAAACGGTTCTGGTGGTCCCGCTCTGACATCACTGCTTTAAATGAGCAGGACTTTAACTAGACCGGTTCTTCAGAAGCTCCAGGGTCGGTTTCATGTCCAGAACCAGCCTGGTACCTGGTACCACCATGTGGACTCAGTTGGATCCCTGCTGCCGACCTGTGAGGAGAAACGGAGCGGGTTCAGAACCTCAACCCGGTTCTGCTGGCGGAACAACGGCGATCTGAACCAGGTTGCTATGGCGATTCACAACTGTACAGGCATCGTTCTGATCGATCGGTTCCAACTGATCGGTTCTGATCGATCGGTTCCGATCGATTGGTTCCAACTGATCCTATTCATCAATCAGAGCACAAAGCTCAGCTGGTCAGTCAGAATATTTAAAAGGTTTGTATCCAAGGAAACCAACACAACCTTTGACCTGCAGCATCACTCTGGGACCAGCAGGGGGCGACAGTGGAGCAGAACCTCATCAGAACCTCATCAGAACCCCGGGACGCTCCAATGAGGATGAAGAAACAATAAATAAAGTGCAATCTAAAGGAGGTGATGGTCCAGAATAGATTTTCCTTCAGTAACTTAGAGAGCTCTCGGGGTCAGAGTTCACCGTCTGAAGATTCAGCGGCTCCGTCTGTGAAATATTCCCACCAGTAGCGGCGGCCCAACAGAACCAGCGTCTGCAGCTTGACTCGTGGTTGGGTTTCTGCTGAGTGTGGGAAGCTCTAAGCTGCTCTTCCTGCTGTCTGGATCCAGGAGGCTTTAGTTCCTGCGTTGGTGGAGAAAATCCATCAAGTGTTTGTTTATTAGATATGATATTAGATTCTTTGTGTTGTTGCATGTTGACGAGCTTCAGCCTGAGCAGGAAGGAATGACGAGACCAGCTGCACATGCAGGCTGAGCTGAAGGTGTTGTGTCTACCACTAGGTGGCGTTCCAGAATAGGATCGAGAGGAGAAAGAGAGGCAAGTAGAAGAAGAGATAAGATGGTGGAAAAGCTAATGTTACTGTACTGCTGAGCGAGTTCTGAATAAAAGCTGTTAAGAGGTATTTGTCCTAATCCTACCAGACATAATAATCGATCCATCACCAATTATACACTTTTTCACGGAAATCGGCCGATTGATCGGCACACGGCTATCAGAACCAGAACCGTTGTCAGTGTTTTCTGGAGGTCAGAGAAGACAGAGCAGAAGAACCGAACCAGGAGAACGTTCTAGATGGAGTCATTCAGCCTGCAGCAGCACAATGACATCAGGCCTTCTGGACGGAATCATGCAACCCGAACCAGACGGACCCACCAGAACAACCAGAACACGCCGGGTTCCCATGAACCCGACGTGTTCTGGTGGGTCAGTCCACCTTAAAACACTGAAAGGCAGAACCGAACTGTTTCTGAACCCATCAGAACCCTGTGTTAGAACTAGCAACATGCAGCAGGCTACATGCTAGTAGCTTGCAACTAGCTACAACCCTAAGGACCTCAAGAACCCTAAGGTCCTCTGAGGACACAGGTGTCCTCTTCCCTACACCTGAGTTCAACCAATGAGAAAGCGAGGGCCCAGTAAGAGTCTGGGCCCTCGCTGGGCCCTCGCTGGGCCCCCGCTGGGCCCCCTGCTGGGCCCTAGCTGGGCCCTCGCTGGGCCCCCGCTGGGCCCTAGCTGGGCCCTCGCTGGGCCCCCTGCTGGGCCCCCGCTGGGCCCTCGCTGGGCCCTAGCTGGGCCCTGGCTGGCCCCCTGCTGGGCCCTCGCTGGGCCCCCGCTGGGCCCTCGCTGGGCCCCCGGTGGCAGCTTACCATTACTGGTGGAACTGGTCTCTGGTGTCTCCCAGTTCATGGATTTCTGGACGGCCTTCTTCCAGCGAGTGAAGCGCAACTCGCTCTCTGGTGGAGGACAGACAGTCGAGTTGGAGCAGAAACAGCCACTAGATGGCAGCAGATCACCTTTCATTATGCAAAGCAGGATTCTTTGGTCAGGATTCTCTCTGACCAAAGTCTTCACTCAGAAGCCTCTTCAGATTCACTGTGATACAGACTGCTACAGGAGATCATCTACATTAGCTCTGAAAAATCTGAATCATGTGAGCTACAACGTTAAATTTCCTTTGGATCAATAAAGTGTTTCTGAATTTGAATTACTACAGTACAGCCAAATGACCAGCAGGCAGTGTGTTGTGTGGTTCTGGTTCTGGTTCTGACCCTGGGTGTTGATCTGAGGCTGGTACCGCTCAGCCGTGACCTCAGGCAGCTGATCAGGGTCCAGGTTCCAGACCTCTACGCCCGCAGCGGCACCGGCCGCCATGGCTGCACCCAGAGCTGTGGTCTCAGACATGCTGGGTCGCACTGAAAGCAGGGAATCAGAATCAGAACCAGAACTGGACCAGAACATATTACGCTGTAAAAACGAAGACAAATTTACTCATTTTAATTACAATCATGAAAACTTATTTACTTGCATCCCAACTCTGTAACGTTTGGACTCAGAAGGTGATTTAGGTCGTTACCTGTGATGGTGGACAGGTCAAAGGTCAGAGGTGACTGTCTCTGACAGAACCAGAACCGGTTCTAAACCCCAGAGTGACTCTTTGAAGCCGTTCTTACCGACAGGGATGCAGAGGATGTCGGCCTGCAGCTGCATCAGCAGCCGGTTCCCCGTCATGCCTCCGTCCACGCCCAGCACCGGCAGCGGGATGCGGCAGTCCTGGTTCATGGCGTCCAGGATCTGGCAGGCAGCAGGAAGACCATCAGACTTTAACTGGACCTCAGCAGAACCAAAGGTTCTTTATACCTGCTCACCTCTCTGGTCTGGAAGCAGACGGCCTCCAGGGCGGCGAACGCCAGGTGGCTCCTGTTGGTGAATTGGGTGAGGCCGCAGATGATGCTGGGAACAAGAGAGGTTAGGTGTGGACAGCTTTGGACCCACAGACCCGACGAGTTAGAGGAGCAGAGCGTCTCACCCTCTGGCGCTCGGCTCCCAGTACGGAGCGTAGAGGCCGGAGAACGCCGGAACGAAGTAGCAGCCGTAGGACGTTCCTGCTTCCGCTGCCAGCTGCTCTGAAACCACAAAGAGGCGGAAAACACTCACACCTCCTCCCAACAGAAGGTTCCTGGTTCTGGTACCAGAATCGGAACCTCCTCCCAACAGAAGGTTCCTGGTTCTGGTACCAGAATCGGGAACCTCCTCCCAACAGAAGGTTCCTGGTTCTGGTACCAGAATCGGGAACCTCCTCCCAACAGAAGGTTCCTGGTTCTGGTACCAGAATTGGGAACCTCCTCCCAACAGAAGGTTCCTGGTTCTGGTACCAGAACCAGCTTTGAGAATTACCAATCTCAGAGGACGACTGCACAATGCACATGTTGTCCCTCAGCCAGCGAACCACGGCTCCGGCGATCGCCACCGAACCCTGCAGAGAAACATCAGAGCCTTTCAGGCAATACATTATGACCAGCCTCATCCAGGCCTCTGTTTGGTGGATTGTGGGTAAATCAGTTAATAAATGAAACATTAACCAACATTCTGATGTTTAATAACAGCACTTGGAAAAATGTAATATTTATTTTTATGATGTAAAGCATTTGAACTGCCTTGTTGCTGAAATGTCCAATACTAATGAACTTGATTGATTGATAAGTTGATCAATTGGTTAATGGATTAGTTGGTTGGTCAATTCTTTTGGTTTTGGTCGGTCGGACCCTCAGTCGGTTCTATCAACAGGTTCTCCTTCCTCCCAGAGGTCATACAACTGGGGTCATCCAGGAGCGATCAAACAGTCCGACTCCAGGATCTAGGGTCCAGGATCTGGACCGGGTCCAGGATCTGGACCCAGCAGGGCTACACGACACAACTGGAACCAGACCAACTGGTCCCGACCCGTTGGTCGTAAGGTTCAGACAAACCCAGTGAGGAACTAACGCGTCTCACCTCCAGCGCGTAGCAGGCTGGCTTGTCCCTCCCCAGCTTGTAGGCGATCGTCGTGATCAGGCCGTGTTCGGACATCACCGGCTGCCAGAATCAGCAGAAGACATCAAACTCAGTTTGGATCACAGGAAACGGTTCTGACGGTTCTGAAGCGCCTTACCTTGGTCCCTGTGTTCCTGAGGAGGAAGCATCCCGTCCCGTAGGTGTTTTTGGCCTGGCCTTCCTCAAAGCACATCTGACCCACCAGAGCTGCCGACTGGTCCCCGAGACACTGACAGAGAGAACGACACCGTCAGGTTCTGGAGGAACCGGTCCAAGATGGAGGACCGGCAGAACCTGACAGCACAGCAAAAGCGCCTCACCCCAGAGATGGGAACCCCTGCCAGCGAGCCAGACCTCTGGAGAAACAGGAAGAAGGTTCAGTTGGACGCCATGATCCACATCGACTGTCTGTGTGAAATGCATCACTGTGCAAAAGTCTTAGGTCGTCTTCAAACAATTCTTTGGACTTTGGATGGAGTCCAGTTCTCGGCATTTTAAAAGAACATGGTTTTGGGTTTTAGAGATTGAAACGAAACCTCAGCAAAGCGAATGATAAACCAGGATGGGTTGTTCTGTAGAACCTGGACAAAGGTCCAATAAAGCGAAGCAGTCATGCATCCCTCTGATGTTTGGTTAATATCTTTACCCAACAACAGAGCTTCACTACAGAGACCAAAGTGTAACCATCTGACGCTGTTATCAGATCAGATTTACTTCAATAAAACGTCCCACAGCAGAATGGAGAGCCGCCACTGAGCAGAACCGGGTCGTCTGGTACCAACCCCACATGTTGCTCAGTTCTGGAAAATAAAACCTGTGACTGTTTAGATGATCAAAACCTCGAAAAGAAGCAAAAAGCAGTAAAAATGTTCTGCACCAAAGCAGTGAGGCGTGCAGCTGACCTCTGGACTGCAGGTCGGGTCGGGTCGGGTCGGGTCGGGTCCGGAAGATAAGATATGAGACAAACACTGACAGAACATTCAGGTGGACCTGAACAAACAGCCTGCAGCAACCGGGTTCTGCCCAGGACGGGACCGGTTCGGGTCCGGAGCAACAAGCAGCTCCACATATTCATCGAACAGAACCTGGTAAACCCAACGGGTTCAACAGGTCGTCCCGGCAACTCAAACTAGTTGACCTTTGTCTAATGAGGATCAAAGGGTCGGTTTCGTACTCTTGGCTGTTGGATTGCTCAACGGCAGCAACGTGTTGCCGCTGCTGGTCCGAGTGCAGGCGGTCAACGCCGCCATCGGTCCACATGAGCGCAAACAGGAAATGCCTGGTATCCACTGAGCGGCCATGTTTTATGGACAGGGACGTTTCCTGTTTCACACGATGGAGTTTGGATGTTCAGTGAATCAAACTGGAAACCAGAGGCTGGACTGATGAAGCACCAGTAACACCACTGGAGTCGCTGGGAGGAGGCGGAGCTTCAGATGTGATTCCATGTTTTATTGGCTCATGACTGAAATACAGAAAAGAATCATTTCCTGATCAAATCTGGGATTCAGTTCCGACCCAGCAGAACTTCGCTTTCTGAAAGGTTCTGACCCGGTTCCATTAGAACCTCTTCATTCATACAGAACTTAATATAAGCAGAAAGTTCAGATTTTTAGCCAATGGGAACATAAAGTACCATGTTGCTAGAGTGGCCTAGTTAAAGTCCAGACTTGAGGAAACAAGCAAAAGCACCAAAAATGTGTAACATTATTATTATTATTGTTATGATTAATTATCATTATGATTAATCATCGTCGTCATGGCGATCAGGGCTCACCTTGCGGCCGTAGATCTCAGAGGAGCTTCTGATGGCCGGCAGGATTTCCATCGGGACGCCAAAGAAACTGGAAACACACCATCAAACCGCAGCTTTAAACGACTGGAACCGGCCAGAACCGGTCAGCATGAGCCAGAACTGGAACCGGCCAGAACCGGTCAGTATGAACCAGAACTGGAACCGGCCAGAACCGGTCAGTATGAACCAGAACTGGAACCGGTCAGAACCGGTCAGCATGAGCCAGAACTGGAACCGGCCAGAACCGGTCAGTATGAACCAGAACTGGAACCGGTCAGAACCGGTCAGTATGAACCAGAACTGGAACCGGCCAGAACCGGTCTCAGATGAATAGTAGCCTGGGTGAGAAATGATCCAAGCTCCAAGTTCAGGAGGATGAATTCAGTTTCCAAACTCTTGTGGGAAAATATTCCTGGCACCTAAAGCACCAAAACATTTCTGGGAGACCAATAAGCTCTGGATCTGAGTCCAGACTGAGACGGAACATCTTTGAAACTTGGTTCCTGAGAGCCAGACTGGTCCAGGTTACCTGCAGAGCTCGGGGTCCCAGTCCAGCCTGTGGATGTCGAACAGCAAAGTGCGGCTGGCGTTGGACACGTCCGTGACGTGGACTCCCCCGTCTCGCCCGCCCGTCAGACTCTGTAGGAGAGAGAGCTCTTTAACTGGCGGGAATAAAAACCTGGAGCTGGAACTGGTGGCCTGTTGCTCCTACCCAGATGATCCAGGAGTCCACGGTCCCAAACATGGCCCGCTTACTCAGAACCGCCTGCCGCACCGCCTCCACATTGTCCAGCAACCAACGGAGTTTCACTGCACTGAAGTAAGTGCTGATGGGGAGTCCAGTCTTATGCTGCCAGGCGAGTCCAATAGAACCCAAAGGAGAACCAACAACAGGTTGACCTCAGGGGCGTCCTGACCTCTCCACATTTAGGGATAACAGTCCTACCTTCAGGTGGTTCTTGCTCCTGCTGGGAGTTTTGCTGATGAGTCTCTCCACAGTGGACTGTGTCCTCAGGTCCAGCCAGACTGCAGAACAGGGAGAACACAGAGATTAGAACTTCCACATGATCAGAGTCCGACTGTTTCTGAGAGGTCAGCTAACCGTCTGCCACTTGGAAAAGTCTGGAGGACTTAGCAGGAGAAGAGTCAATGTGGGACAGTATAACGAGCCCAGTTTGATCTTTTTACCACCAGTTAAGGGAAAAACTGGTGGAGTCTGTCAGTCAACTGAACCAAACAGCTATAGTTTGCTATAGCAAGGAAAACTATAGCTGTTTTCCTTGCAGCTATAGTTCTTTTGTTCTTGTGAAGGGTCTGACATAAGCCTATTCATCCACCTCCCTTGTCTCCATCTTGAATCTTGATCCAGGGTCGGGCCACGGGGGCATCAGACGTACGAGGAGGCTCAGATTTCCCTCTAGCCTCCAGGATCCTCCTGGAAGAGCCGGAGGAAGATCCCAGAGATCTTCCTCTCGGCGTTCCTAGAGAGGAAAATCGTCTCTCCTGGCAGAGGAAACTCATTCCAGTTACTTGTACACACAACCTCATTCCTTTGGCCTCTACCCAAAGCTCATGACCACAGACCTGATTCAACTCTGTCTTCACCATGACAAGTCAGTACAGCGCCCGCTTCACTGCAGACTCCACCGATCTGCCTTCATGAGCTCAGAGATACTTAAACTCCTCCATCCTAAGGCCTCCAACACATTGGCTGGTCTACAAACACTGGCAACAGAATCCGTGACAAAGGGCAGTCTGGACGCAGTCCAGCTCTCACCGGAGCCCGACTTACTGCCGGTAATGAGGACCAAGCTCAGGTAGCGGTGACACAGAGACCATAGTCCAACACCTTCCCCACGTCTACAAAATGGACATGCAGACTGGTTGGGTGAACTCCCAGAACTCTCCAGGACCCTGCTGAGGGTGTGGAGTTGGTCCAAAGGTCCATGACCAGGATGAAAGCCTGGTTTAGTAACCTAATGAACCTAACCTGAGCTGGCTGTACAGCTGCTGATCAGCTCCATTGCTGATCCGGTCCAGGAGATGCCAAGATTCTGAAGGTTTTACTGGAACCAGTCCTTACTGGTTTCATGTGGCTGGACTCACCGATGGCGTTGTAGAGTGGCTCTCCGGTCTCCTTGTCCCAGACCAGGGTGGTTTCTCTTTGGTTGGTCACCCCCACTGCTGCAGAGCAACAGCAACAATGTGAACATGGATGAACCTGCAGAAACAGAACCGCAGCAGCGGCAGCGTCCAACCTTTGATGCGGGACACGTCCACGCCGAGCTGCGCCAGCTTCTGGCAGGTCTTCTCCAGACACTCGTGGACGGTGTCCATGATCTCCTTGGGGTCCGCCTCCACCCACCTGAGGGGATGATTGGTCCGCACATGTTCAGCATGTCTTTAACTGGTTCCAGTTGCTTGTATCCAAGCCGCTACCCAAAGCTTATGACCATGAATGGAACTGGCTGAGGCCTAGTCCAAACATAGCCCATATTTTTATGTGCTTTGGCCTTTCATCCACACAAAAACATCTAATATCACTAAGAATGATTGTTTATAGAAACTATGACCAAAGGAGAGACGTGAGAAACCTCTGTATCTATAGTCTGTTGGGGAAAACGCCTCATTCCAGTCGAATGATGCACCAATATCTCCAGTTACATCGTCTTGAGATTTAATAACCCTATTTTCGAATACGTTGAAAGTAGTTCAACCTACAGATGAACCTCCTGGCGCCGTGTTTGATTCTAACAGGAAGTGTTGGATGTTTTGAAGGATTCTGATTGGCTGAATCAACCCTTAGCTCTACACTGCCCCCTCTGGCTCAGAATGTGTAAACAACGCTCAGAAGCAGATTTATTTGGGTTCATGTGGATGAACATTTCTGTGAAAGCGATCTCTGTGAACGATGTCCAGAGTCTCACCCTTCTTTGGGGAAATGTTGCTTGAGCTCCACCTGGTGGTGGCTGATCAGCTGGGCTGTTTTAGTGTTGAACACCTGCAGAGAAAAGCAGCCAATCAGAGAGCAGAAAAGAAGGGACTCGTTATGCTAACGGGTTCAGCTCAGCCTGTGAGACCAGCAGGGGCTACTAAAGGGTATTCTGGGCTGTTGTGAAGGCAGAATGGTTCCTCTGCTCCGTGATGTAAACCAGAGTAGGAGAGGAGCCTCCATCTTGTCAACAGCCAAGATGGAGGCTCCTTTGGCTACAAGGACAAAATGTGCAGGCAGAGAGACGGGCAGCTCAGCTGGCAAAGGACCTCACACCAGCAAAACCTGGACCTTCAGGTTCTCCTGATGAGCCATCAGCAGGAACCCGTCTGACTCCAACAGGAAGTGAGCTGCTTCACTTCCTGTTGTCAGATCACAGAACTAACCCCGCAAGCCTCTGCTTCACCAGTTGGACCTGCAGACCGACCGGTGTCACAAACCGGGCCCATGATGTCACCTCGCCGCTGTCTCACTGTGCAAACTGCATACGTATGGATGATGGGCATCGAGCCGACGAGCTCCAGCCATCCATTCAGTTCTGCTCCAGGAAACTGGGAGACAACCAGGTCCCAGTTTGTTCCCAGTTTAGGATTCCAGCTGAGCTCCAGCATAATGATATCAAATCATTTTGCGGTTCATTTTTCTCTCCACCTGGTCTGCATTCTGATTGGCTGGTTCCTTCCTGGAGGCGGGGCATCAGCTGACAAGACGTTGTCCTCTCCTGCTGCCAAACGTTTTACTCTAACATAGAAAGTTGTCCTGGTTCAGTCCTGCTCAAACCTCCAGACAGCAGCTGGTAAAGATTCGGTTCTGGTTCTGGTTCCGTTGGAGTTTTCTTCCTGTAAACGGGGAGTTTTTCTCTCCACTGTCGCCCCCTGCTGGTCAGGAGGAGTGACGGGTTTATTGATAGAAACTTTTAAAACTAGTTTAAATAAAGATCAGCTGCTGATTTCATATCCTGATATGCAACAAGGCATTTTTATGTCAGGCGTGGTTTTATATGAGTTTTCTGACCCGGTTCTGGTTCTGTTGGTCCAGAGCAGCGGACTGGACCAGGAATGATTGACCAGCAGCAGGTTTCCCTGCTGACGTCATCAACAGTAAATGAATGAAAACTGAAAGTTTAAAAGTAGTAGAATGTGAAACCAGATTCAGTTCGGTCCGGGTCGGTTCGGTTCGGTCCACTCACCAGGAACCTGGTGGAGCTGGTTCCCTGGTCGATGGCAGCCGCCAGCGGGTCCATGTCTGCTGCTCGAGTCTGTCTGGGCTCCTCTGCGCCCAGCGGGGGGCGGGCCGCCGGAACCGGTCGGAACCGGCCGGAGTTTACCGAACCCAATTCTGGTCCCTGCATCGGGAGCGCGCGCTGCAGGAGAGAGGCGGATCTGAGCACAACCCGTCAAATCACGTCAAGGTTGAAACTTTCAGTTTAATCTGCAGATTTTGTTCAAACAAGAAGCAAAAACAACGAAATGAATGAATGAATGAATGAATGAATGAATGAATGAATGATGTCATTTTCTTTCCTGCTTTTGTCTCTTCAGCTGAAAGTAAATTTCTGGTTTCATTCCTGATGTGAGATGTTTACTGACGGTAGGAAAATCCGCTGCTGTCAAATCTGACAGATTACTGGATTAAGGATTTTTCTACATCCCAATTTCTGAGAATGTGGAAACAGTTGCTGTTTATTGTCAAAGCTCTGGGGAAATAATCTGTTATTACCTACAGGTTATAACTTTGGTAAAAAATTTAGCAAATCCTTTCAACCTTGATTGTGAGAAAAATCAACATTTAAAACTTGATTGATTGATTGATTGATTGATTGATTTGTCCCTATGAGTTGGAGGGGGAACAGATTCTTTCAGGCATAATAAAGAGCAATTGTTTCCAAATTCTCAATGTTATGTTGATTCACATTTGAACCACTAAAAATTAGCAGCTAGAAACGACAGATTACTGGATTACAGTAATCTGTCATATTTAACATGATGGGATTTTCCAGAAACACTCTGATCTTTTCAGGAAGTCTGGCTTCATGTCCTGCTGCCAGCAGCTTCCTCCTTACATCCGCAGTGAAAAGCTGTAAATTCACACATGTTGGAAATCTGGTGACTGACTTTGTGCTCAGACTAGAGAGTCAAAAGAAAAACATGGATTCTCTTCAACGACACAAATCCGGCTAAAAAGACCTGGATTTCTGTTCATTGATTTGATTTTGCTTCTTTTCAGACATCAGGTGATTAAACTGAAAGTTCAAACCTTCACATGGTCACATGATCCGGAAACACAGCTCAACCAATCAGAGTGCAGGATGCAGACACGCCCCCCTGCAGGCAGCTCAGGTCACCTGACCCGGGATGACGTCAGAGTCCGTCATTCAGTCTGAATTACTTTATATCCGCATGTAATTTTTAGCCAGAGAAAATAAAACGTTTCAGTAAAAATGTCCAGACTTGCAGCAGAACCCAGAAGTTTTCACACGCTGAAAAGTGTGGCTGGCTTTTAGCCTCACTCTGCCACTACATGCTACCAGTGGAAGCTAATGCTAATCAGAAGCTTCACAGCATGACAGAGGTTTGGCTTCAACAGGAGGGAGAACTTCAGCAGAACCAAATTTGCATTTATGAATGTAAAATTGAACTAGAATTAACAATAGATTGAATACATAAAATTGATTCTTATTAGCAGGACAGATATTGTAGAAACCAAGAAGTGCATCTGTGTCTCAAAGTGAGAAACTATGGAGGAAATGAAACTGGATGGACAGACGGTTGAGGAACGTCTGTCCATCCAGAGCTCCGTGTTCTGGTCCAGGTTCTGCTCTGAAGAAAACATCACCAGGTTTGTTGGTAAAAAAGTCCAAACTGTTGTTCATTTGACCCCAGAAGCTCATCATGTCCAGCAGGGGGTCACATCGTGTCCAGCAGGGGGTCACATCGTGTCCAGCAGGGGGTCACATCAGGTACAGCAGCAACGAAACAACAAACTTCTATTCCTGCTTGTAGTGGAACATTTAGAGAAACTAAATCGACCCGCATCAGACTGAAGACTGGGAGACTGAAGACTGAGAGACTGAAGACTGAGGACTGAGAGACTGAACACTGAAGACTGAGAGACTGAAGACTGAGAGACTGAAGACTGGGAGACTGAAGACTGAGAGACTGAAGACTGACAGACTGAAGACTGACAGACTGAGAGACTGAAGACTGAGAGACTGACAGACTGAAGACTGGGAGACTGAAGACTGAGAGACTGAGAGACTGAAGACTGACAGACTGGGAGACTGAAGACTGAGAGACTGAAGACTGGGACTGAAGACTGGGAGACTGAAGACTGAGAGACTGAAGACTGAGAGACTGAAGACTGACAGACTGAGAGACTGAAGACTGGGAGACTGAAGACTGAGAGACTGAAGACTGGGAGACTGAAGACTGAGAGACTGAAGACTGAGAGACTGAAGACTGAGAGACTGAAGACTGGGAGACTGAAGACCGAGAGACTGATAGACTGAAGACTGAGAGACTGAAGACTGGGAGACTGAAGACCGAGAGACTGAAGACTGAGAGACTGGGAGACTGAAGACTGAGAGACTGAAGACTGGGAGACTGAAGACTGAGAGACTGAAGACTGAGAGACTGAAGACTGAGAGACTGAAGACTGAGAGACTGAAGACTGACAGACTGAAGACTGAGAGACTGAAGACTGAGAGACTGAAGACTGACAGACTGGGAGATTGAAGACTGGGAGACTGAAGACTGGGAGACTGAAGACTGATAGACTGAAGACTGAGAGACTGAAGACCGAGAGACTGGGAGACTGAAGACTGAGACTGAAGACTGGGAGACTGAAGACTGAGAGACTGAAGACTGGGAGACTGAAGACTGACAGACTGAAGACTGGGAGACTTAAGACTGAGAGACTGAAGACTGAGAGACTGAAGACTGAGAGACTGAAGACTGGGAGACTGAAGACTGAGAGACTGAAGACTGACAGACTGAAGACTGAGAGACTGAAGACTGAGAGACTGAAGACTGACAGACTGAAGACTGGGAGATTGAAGACTGGGAGACTGAAGACTGGGAGACTGAAGACTGATAGACTGAAGACTGAGAGACTGAAGACTGAGAGACTGAAGACTGGGAGACTGAGAGACTGAAGACTGAGAGACTGAGGACTGAGAGACTGAAGACTGAGAGACTGAAGACTGGGAGACTGAAGACTGAGAGACTGAAGACTGAGAGACTGAAGACTGAGGACTGACAGACTGAAGACTGAGAGACTGAAGACTGGGAGACTGAAGACTGAGAGACTGAAGACTGAGAGACTGAAGACTGACAGACTGAAGACTGGGAGACTGAAGACTGAGAGACTGAAGACTGAGAGACTGAAGACTGACAGACTGAAGACTGAGAGACTGAAGACTGGGAGACTGAAGACTGAGAGACTGAAGACTGAGAGACTGAAGACTGACAGACTGAAGACTGGGAGACTGAAGACTGATAGACTGAGAGACTGAAGACTGAGAGACAGAATGTCTGCAGCTGTCCGCTGACGGAGCTGCAAGACCACCAGAATGTCTTTAGACTTAGACTTCCTTTATTGTCATTGTAACAAAAAAAACACAAGGTGAATCATGACAACGAAATGTCGTTACTTGGCTACCAGTGTAGCAGAGCTAAAACCTTAAACTACACAATAAATACATAAATAAATACAATACATACAGTACAATACATACAATACAATACATACAATACAATACATACATACAATACATACAATACCATACAATACAATACAATACATACAATACAATACAATACATACAATACAATACATACAATACAACATACAATACAATACATACAATACAATACAATTCATACAATACAATACATACAATACAATACATACAATACAATACATACAATACCATACAATACAATACAATACAATACATACAATACAATACAATACATACAATACAATACATACAATACCATACAATACAATACAATACATACAATACAATACATACAATACAATACAATACATACAATACCATACAATACAATACAATACATACAATACCATACAATCAATACAATACATACAATACATACAATACAATACATACAATACAATACATACAATACAATACATACAATACAATACAATACATACAATACCATACAATACAATACAATAGATACAATACAATACATACAATACATACAATACAATACATACAATACAATACAATACATACAATACATACAATACAATACATACAATACAATACATACAATACAATACAATACATACAATACAATACAATACCATACAATACAATACATACAATACAATACATACAATACAATACATACAATACAATACATACAATACATACAATACAATACAATACATACAATACCATACATACAATACAATACAATAGATACAATACAATACAATACATACATACAATACAATACATACAATACATACATACAATACAATACCTACATACAATACCATACAATACATACATACAATACAATACATACAATACAATACAATACATACAATACCATACAATACAATACAATACATACAATACAATACAATACATACAATACATACAATACAATACATACAATACAATACAATACATACAATACCATACAATACAATACTACATACAATACAATACAATACATACAATACAATACAATACATACAATACAATACATACAATACAATACATACAATACCATACAATACAATACAATACATACAATACAATACATACAATACAATACAATACATACAATACCATACAATACAATACAATACATACAATACCATACAATACAATACAATACAATACATACATACAATACAATACATACAATACAATACATACAATACAATACATACAATACAATACATACAATACAATACATACAATACCATACAATACAATAGATACAATACAATACATACAATACATACAATACATACATACAATACAATACAATACATACAATACCATACCATACAATACATACAATACAATACATACAATACAATACATACAATACAATACATACAATACCATACAATACAATACATACAATACATATACATACAATACAATACATACAATACAATACAATACATACAATACCATACAATACAATACAATAGATACAATACAATACAATACAATACATACAATACAATACATACAATACAATACATACAATACAATACACTACATACAATACCATACAATACAATACATACAATACAT